GAAAGTTGGGGGGAGGTGGAAAAGAAAGAGTATTACAAGCTTTAGACACTAGTATGTGTGAAAGCCTGCAGGTTGAGTATGGTGAGTTGGTACCTTCTGAGAACTGAGAGCTAAAAACAGTAGAGATTTTTAAGGAGTGAGCACAGAGAGGTGAGCCATGAGAGGTGGATAGGGAAGCTTTGTTAAGAGGGGTTTTATACTGAGGGTTATGAAGAGTCACTGGAACATTTTAAGAAGGTGATGCTGCACAGAATTCCAGCTTAACAAGGTCTGCAGGGCCTTGATGCGGCCGTGGTGTGGAAATGAGAATGGATGGGTAGATTGGAGTGTGAGGGTGCAGGGAGGCCTGGAGAACATGTCGGGTTTTGCAGAAATGCTAGCAAGAAGGCAGTGGCTCCATGTGGCATGACGGGAAGTGGACAGATGCAAGAGAACTCCAGGAGGTGGAATTGGCAAAATATGATACGGGCTGGACCGAGAGTGAAAAGGCAGAAAAGAGGAGGAGGAGGAGTTGTCATTCAGGCTGGTGCTGATTTCAGGCTTGGAAATTGGCTGTGGGGCCCAGGAGGAACAGCAGGCTTGAAGGTGGCAGGTTTGAGGTACCTGTGGGATAGCCAAGTGGAGCTTTCTACCAGGCAGTTGGATATATGGGTTCAGAATAGAGAGGTGGAAACTGAAGTCATGGCTGGATGACATCACCCAAAGTCAAGCAAATAACTAACAAAGGACTGGTCCAGATGATTTAAAGATTTCCTTCAAATCAGTAAGAAAACGACAAAAGCCTAGTAGAAAAATGAACAAAAATTATGAAAAGGCATACTTAAATTATTAATAAACAGATAAATGCCTCAAAAAACCCCACATAGATAAATGTCTAACCTCAGTAGTATGAAGGAAACGCAAATGTATACCATTTCACAGCCTTCAAACTGAGAAAAATTTAATTCTGGCAATATCAGCAGGATGCAGAGCAACAGGCACTCTATGCAGTTGGTGGAAGAGTGAGTCGGGATGAGCTCTTTGGGGAAAAAATGTGACATTACCTAGCAGAGTTGGCAAAGTACATGGCATTGAGCCCAATAATTTTCCTTGTTAGCAGAAACTACAGAGAAACCCACCCTCTCACATGAGTACCAGAATGTTAAAAAACACACTAGCTAAAAAATGGAAAGACATCGGTGATTGTCGATAGAAAAGGAGAGATGAATGAAGTACTCTACAGCAGTGAAAATGCGTGAATTAGTGCTAAATGTTGTCACCATGGTTAAATCTCACAATCACAAACAGTGTGATATCATTAATATTAAGTTTAAAGGTATGCAGGATAATGCTATACATTGTTTTTTCTTTTTAAAAAAATATTTTTTTATTGATTTCAGAGAGGAAGGGAGAGGGAGAGAGAGTTAGAAACATCAGTAATGAGAGAGAATCATTGATCGGCTGCCTCCTGTATGCCTCCCACTGAGAATTGAGCCTGCGACCCGGGCATGTGCCCTTGACCGGAATTGAACCCAGGACCCTTCAGTCCATAGGCCGACACTCTATCCGCTGAGCCAAACCAGCTAGGGCTACATTGTTTTTTCTTTGTATAAATATATTCCTAAAGAAATTCATGAGAATGGTAAATTCAGGATAGTGTTTACCTCTGAGGGAAGGTTTCATTGGGCTGAAGTTTTGTATATTTTATTTCTTAAGCTGGGTGAAAAAGTCACAGGTGATGTTGTTGTTG